TTTCCGAACACCAAATTCTCGTCACAAAAAGCAAGTTCATTTCCGAAGAAATCCCCTTTTATGTGCGACTAACAATTGGCACCATACTTTGTATTTCCCTTCATATGGTGCATTAGAAAAACAAATACTTTCATTGAGTGAACATTTAGACGTCATTTCAAATATGCACTTTAAAAATAGAGGAGCGGGTACAGGTTTTTCAGCAACTTCTTGGACTAATACAAAAGGTTTTCATCTTGATTTTATAGCAGGTTGGTGTGATTATAATGGATGGAAAAAATCACCTGATGAATTTTATCAAAATAACATTCTTTGTAACTTTGGTGATGATTCCATAGGGATTACCTTAGATCTTAAAAATATGGATACAGAAAAATTGAAAGCATGTATGGCTAAATATAATATTTACTTAGACTTCGATGTTTTCAATCACATTGAACAAATCCAATACCTAGGCTCACGTGCACTATATACACATCGGCATACCATAGAACGCGGTTTGTTGGATACTTGGAAACGCGCGAGATTGAATGCCCAAAGACAAACTTTGAAGCAGAACGTTCTTTCTAAAAACCCGCAACAAACAAAGGTTAAAAGATGGAATAAATTGGCTTTTTGGATCTTTGCTCAACAAAATAAACTGCCTTCTTTTTATCAGGTTATGAATATACACATGGATATCAAAACTGTCTTTCCCGAAAAATATCTTAGTTATTGGAATAAATTCTTGAAAGAACCACAAAATACTGATTACTCCTTCGAGACTTCATGAATGACATGACTAGGGTTATGCCACGTCAATTATATCGCATGATGCCACCTTTAACTAATTTATCTCTTGAACCTATCTTTTATACATCCCGTCGTTATTTTGAAAAATTCTTATATACTAGTCACGAGGAGACTATAGGTTCGTCATATTCATCATTTAGTTCACTTATAAAGCAAAGTCCATATGGTGCTTTAAGCGATGGCCAGACATTCTGGTACAATATCAACAACAATCCTGACTACTATAGTGAAGTCAAGATGCATCCTACTTATATCTATGCTAATATGTGCACGTTAATGACGTTCTGCTATATGACTATGCACTGGATAGTGAAGAAAATATTAAAGAAGCACAAAAAGTTCAAAAGGAATATCATGACAAAAATATTAAAATTGACAAATTAAAAGTTGGTAACAAAGTTCTGGTTGCCAAGTTATTTTTTAAAAATGTTTTCTCTGCCAAATTAGAGAAACAATTCATGAGCCCTTATATAATTTATGATATATTAGATCTTGGAGTTTACAAACTATGAACACTAGATGGCAAAAATGTTAAAGATCCAGTTCATGGTGATTATTTAAAATTGTATCATGAAAGAGAAATTAAAGATCTCTCTGTGCCTCAAATTATCATCACACAAAGTAACAATCCACAAACAAAGATCGTATAACCTCAACTTTTATAAATATACCCTTTGTACTAGCATTTTTCCCAAAATTCTTAAATTCTAAAAATTCTTTAATAATTAATTTAGAAATTTTTACCTTTTTAGTCTTAGTTTTATATATAGTCTTTTTATATTCTTTTATTATATATTTTATAAACATTATTACAAAATGCAAGAATTAAATGAATCTTTTCTTAACCAATTCTCTTTTGAAGCATTGCAAGGGTTGCAACTATTTTTAAAGAAATAGAAACAAACAAGCATATAATAATCAGATTTTGGAAACTGATCAAGAAAACATAACAGTGATCAATAATAATGAAACTAGAATCAAAATACCTATTAATAAAATTCTTCAAGATAATCTCTATAATTCTTCAATATACAACTTATTATTCAAAGAATTTATTAATCATGAAGATTAGGAAGCACTTCATTGCACCAACACACCAAATTTTGATAAAGTTAATAATTATGATTGGATTACTTTAAGTTCTAATAATGATGCAAAATAAAACGAGGAAGTTGTTAATAAAGAACCTTCTGTTAACTAATATAGAAAAGAAAGATTTATTGAGAAAGAGTCTTATAATAAAGATTCTTCACTTGCTAAAATAACAAAAGATTTAAATTGAAGCTCTACAGAAGAAAACATATCTATCTCTTCTTTTATTGGAAGTGATGAACTAGCAATTTTCAATCAAATTATTAAAGCCTATAAGAAAATTAGAAGAAACAACAATGAACAAATTTTTTGCCTAAAAATAATATATTATCTAGAAAAGCTATTTACTGACAATAGCAATAATAACCAATTGAAGAAAAAATTCAGCAGAATTGTGTTAGAAAAATTTAGAAAATCTGGTGCTAACCAATTACAAACTCAAGCAACAAGAAATTACACATTGTTTCAAAAATATAGGCTTAGTAAACTATAATTTATTAGAAGTATATACTGCAAATTTTAAGAAAATAACTATCAAACAATTTGAAAAATTAAAAAATTAATTAGTAGTTCGTAGTTAAAGGGTACAAATTTTATAGTAAAAATTGGTGGGCATGTGACTAGTTACCTTATATA